CCTGATCGGCTCCGCCCAACCTGCAGTGAAACAAAAGACACACCCACCAAAACCCAAAAGACAGACAAAAACCCGAAAACCCAGTGAAACAAAGTCTAGGATCCTCACATACATATCCCATCTGACCAATGCTTCAGGAAAGGAACTTGTGACTGATTTAGTCCATTATCTACTCAATAAGACGAGGATGCTGGGGTGTGTCCCTGAGTTTCTGGCTGCATTGTGCTCAAAGTGTGCAATTTTTTAATTCCAAACCGGTGTATATAAAATTTGTATATAAAAAGCTCCTAAAACACCTCACCTCAAAGGTATTACTGGTACAAATGTACTTACTGTATCAGTCAGGACATGAAAAAAAAAACAACCCTAAAAACATGATATTGTTTTTACCTTATTAGGTGAGAATACATTTTTAATTGAGTTAAGTGCAAATTTGATTAAATTTTTGGTAAATTTAAACATTGTTAAGTGCTACAAGATACATAAGCATTAGTAAAGTAAGCAAACGTAATTTTCACCCAAGCAGTAGTTTTCTAAACTAGCAGGTCCTGGTGTCTTTAGGTCAGCAGAACAACCTCACTGTGTTATTGTCTCATCACTCAGTGGGTGAGGTCAACCACATTCTCCGATAGACACGATAGCATCAACCTCTCATGTATGAGGACGATCACACTGGATTGAATAATCACATAGTCTCCAGCTTTATACTTTGAATTATGTTTATTGATCATCAGCAACTTCAAGCTGAAATGCAAAAACACATACAGGATTCTGTTGAGCGACAATGAGGTTAAAACACATGAAGTCAGAGACAATCTTCACCCTCAGTAAGGACGAGTGATTACTTCTTCTGCATCAGGTCACTTAATGAATAAAAACAACATCATAGCAGACATGACCTGCTTGAGACCCTACAGACAAAACACATTCTAAGCATGCATTATGGATATTTTAATCTGCATTTTCATGTCCTAAATCATATTATAAAAGGAAAGATATATATTTGAGCTGCAGGCCACAAAGAAGCTATAAAAACAGATTTATTTCAAATTATTTCTGCACTGAATACACACACACACAAAATCCTGTCTTACTTGAAAGCAAATGAAACAGTGATACAGTTCTACTGCTTTATGCTGTAGTACATGCAGTCGCTCCAGGTGGGATCCCTCTGGCTTTTTGATCTGTTGGTCAGGTTGACACTTACAGCAGCGTAATAGATGTTTTCTCCATGTCGGTGACCCTGTTAATAAAGTATTTATTTGCATTGTTCATATCGATATACAGTTGTGACTCGATAATCTGACACTAAATGTAAAACCTTCTTTCATGTCGGATAGCAAGGATTCGTCAAGTCACAGGTGGAGATACAAGGAGGGCTTGATGTTTGAAGGGTAACTTGTTGTTAATATTTATTGTTTCTAGTTATTATAATAGCTAATGTATTGTTAGTACACTACACATCACTGGATTTCACGCCTAATTGACCGGTGTGCTTGTGCATGGGCCCGCCGGTTGACATCAAAGGTAGATACGTTCAGACAACAGGCTAAAGTGACCCAAATCTGATTTTTTTTTCCCCCTATGCGACTTGTATCTGATCCTTTCATTACAATCTGAACAACACAGATCTGATTTTTTCAAATGCAACCTAGGCCACTTGGATATGTGGTCCTAAATCTGTTCGGTAGCTGATCTTTTGCCATGCGACTTCTGTCTGAACGGCCAGGTCGCATTTCTGTTTCCACCATCCGTGTTTACTTCCACAAACACTGAGCACGCTCGCTGCGTGTGAAGCCATTGTGTCCTCTTCTACACATGCGGGACACTTTTGGGTCGTATAAAGTTCACACAGCAGATCACATACAAGTGGCATTTAATTGGAAACTTGAAGGAACTCGCAGAAAATCGGATTTCACAAAAAAATCCCAATTGAGCATTAAGTCCTGCAGTCTGAATGTAGCCTATCTGTTGGATTGTTACGGTAGATAATACACCGTTATCCTTATTTGTGACATTATTGTCATGTCAGAGGTGGAATCCAAGGCTGTCGGTATGTTAAAGATATTTTTCATGGGTTCCGTTCATTTTTCCTAAAAACCTGTCAGATAGCAAGGTTTTTGGATTGTTAAGGGTCAGAATGTCAAGTCACAACTGTAAACGTAACCAAACTATGTCCACAAATACATTTTTTACTGAGCAGTTTTTACTCACCTTTACATCTGAACTTGATAAGTTTCCTGGAGACTCTGGTTGTGAAACATAGAAAAATTATTCAGAAGTCAAATTTAGTGAATGTAAACTGTCAGATTGAAAAAATGTTTTAAAAAGCACCAGTTACCTGGAGATGTGCAGCAGTTCTTCTTGTTCATCAGACACACTGAGAAAGCCAATACAACACTCAAAAAGGAGGTGAATGTAAAGGCCCCTCTCCAGAAATAAGCAACAGAAGCATTAATGTTCTCCTCATCTGTGAAGCAAACATTAGAAATAGAGTTTTCAGTAAATTTGATGGAGGAGTAGGTTTTTCTTTACATGCAACAATCTAATGTTACTCACCCTCATCGCTCAGCTTGGTCCCGTTTCCAAACACGATGTGTCCACATGATGCAACAGCACAGTAGTAGGTTCCAGCATGAGACAGGTTCTTTATCGGCAGGTTGTGGACACAGGTTTGTGTTTGTGTGTTGGGTTTCTTCCCACATTGATCATTTGTGCCTCCTTGAGTGTAAATGATCCTTGGAAGGGGTTCTTCTCCAGTTTTGAACCAGTAAACACTGTGTTCTCCATCACAGATCCCAGTTTGTACTGTACAGCTCAGATTCACAGAGTCTCCTGGTTGGATGATCTCAGATGGCGATTGCTGGACTGAAGGTCGGATGTTCAAACCTGAGCCTTTTACGTTGACGATGGTGCCCTCTGCAAACTCAAACATGAATGAGTAGCTGCTTGCACAGTAATAAGTAGCTGAGTCTGAAGTGTGCAGATCTGTTATCTTCAGGTGGTTTTTTCCTGTTTCAGTGCCCAGTGTGAAGCGCGGGTTGCTCTTGAATTCATCAGAAAATATGGCTTCTGTTTCATACTTGTAGAACATGGAGATGAGCCTCAGTCTCTGTCCCAAGGTTTGTTTATACCAGTAAAGCCTTCCAGGAAAATTGCTTTGATAGAAACATTGCAAAGTCACACTGTCCCCAGTGTTAGCTGATAGAAAAGTTCTGTCTTGACGAAGCACTGATGATGATTTCAGGTGACTCATCTGAGCTGAAACAAGACACAAAGCAGACACACATTGTGGACACATAAAAGCATGGCCATACACTTTCAAAGATACAGACTGCAGTCACACAAACTCACCCATTTCCCACAAGAGCAGACAGGTCAGGTAGAAGACAAAGTGTGCAGATGCCATCGTGTTCAGATTGTCGTGCTGAATGAAAAGAACTGTGATCCTTTCTTCACTTATCATAGACATGACTGTGTTTGATTGGCTGAGCAGAAGTGACACAGTATGTCCTGTTCAGGAAATCCGATCACATGTTCAAAGGCACCCATAGTGTCATGCCAAGTTTCTCAGGAAATCTACATGGTGAGAGGTGTATGAAGCACAGAAATGCTCCTCAGCTCTGCTTAATGTTACGAATCGCTGAAAAATATATAACTACTGTATTACCTATCTAACTGATAGTACTTTCTACTCATAGGTTTTGTTAGATTTCTGTAGAACTGGCTACCATCTATAATGTCTTAAACAGATGTTGATTTATTTGTTATTTTGTGGTTTCCAGGTTATACTAATGCTAATAACAGCAAACTGACATCCATAGTTGCCAATAATCTTTGT